TCGCAGCCTCGAAGTGCGACACTGAGTAAGCTTAGTTGATCCCTTACATTCTTCATCGTCACTCGGTAATCCGCCCCAAAAATTATGACGTTTTAGAAAGCGAAGTGAGTGTAGGAACTAGGGTCAAGGACTAGCCTGATTGCAATGACTATCATCCTGTCAAACCGTCCTCTATCTGCCTATGGTGAGGAAAGGATGCGAATAAGAGCGCAATTTTTGTTGTGACTAGGCCTTATCACCAATCGAGCTGTTTACGATAGCTTGCGCATTCCATAAAATATGCAGGCGTGCCTTCTTTGCTAAAGCTGACTAGCTCTCAAGGTGCTGAACTACGTTGCGCTGAGTATCAGTGTTCATACTCCACAGCAGTAATAGGCGCGCCGAGCGTCGATTGTATTGCGGACAGCTGATTTGTATCTGCCACGTCTTTACACGGAGTTGTACTCAGTCGCATCGTTTCATGATTTAAGTCGTTTACCAACATGCGAATGCATTTTGTTCTTCGCAGCACTGTAAATTTTGCGTGCTGGCACCACCACGCTGGCATTTTACCCTACGCGAAACACGGATTCAGTTACGACATGATAGATACAGCAGCTGTAGGGCACGAATTGTTGCGTGGCCGACGGGGTAGAGAAGAGCACGCGGCTTATCAATTGCAAAGTAAAGTTTGTAATTCATCTCCGTTTGCCAGGCTTACATCAAAGGGTTGAGGTTTCCAGCAATTTAGTCCTTGCGTAAACAGGTACTGATCGGACAAAGTGAGGGAACGAATGAACAAGAACAAAAATGATGAAAGAACAAAAAGTGAACACGAATGGACAAAAGATTTCAAGTTCCGTGCCAATAACGCGCTCCATGGCGAATCCAGCCAAAGCGACGCCGTACCGTTACCGGTCGTCCAGCAGTATATCATGTCGCGCTAATCCCCATGTCTGCGTCTCTTCAATCTCCTCAGCCTTTGCCTGGCAAAATGCCACCGCTGTACGTTCAACCCCCGAACAATGCGGACGGGCTGCTCCAAATAAATTTTTTCGTCTCCACCGTATTGAAAACTGTATCTAGCCTTCATTATATTAGGTTGTAATAACTGATGATCGTTTCTACTCCTACCACCCCGGAAGTAGGAAGCATATCATCGGATGCGCAAAGCAAACTCTACATGCCGACATTTGAAAAATAAAAGTTTGGCCCATATGAAGCCCCAAATTAATTTTTTCTGCTCGTCTGCTACTTTCCTGATCTGATTTACTCTGGCGCTCTGCGCGCAGACAAAACGCATACGCTTACATCTCTATCGCATTTTTATCTTCAGACTCTTTGACGAACTTCGGTGTTTTTTAGTGTTAACTTTCAAACTACAAAAACTTTAGAAGAAAATACTACCTTATCACGTCATATTGCGATTACAGCAGAAATATAGAATAATTGTTGTTTACTGTGCATCTCTCAATAATATAGGATTGTGGGGGTTTGTTTGGCTTGTTCCACAGTATTCTGAATTTGATTCTACTACAACTGAAATTTGTAGGTGAGACTAGCATTAACGTTGATACTTGAATTGATTGCTTTTCACCTATCGCTCTCAAGATAACATTTTTGCATTTGGTAAAAGTTGCTTTGCACTATGTATGAGTTTTATCCACATGATTTAGTATAATTAAACAGAGAAATTTTGCAGAATTTCAAGCCTTGTTTTGTATACAGAAGAGTTCCATGTTGACTCTTTCCTACCAGCATGGACGAATTCTTAATATGTGATTGTATCGTTTGTTCGTTTGCTTCTTAACATGCGTAGTGCACACCATGCGCGCCATTCGACGACTTGTAAGATTACAACCTGTACATTTCCAGTATATTCTCCTTGTTCGTTTTCTCATTTGATTTGATTAGATGTGTGTCAGGGTACACATTTCTAAATTTGTTGTGCTAGAAAACGTTTCATTGAGACGTTACTCGTAAGAATGTCGTCGATTGTGGTGCACATTGTGCAGACTCACTTAATAAGTTAGATGTGACTCAAGGATATTTTCTAATGACAAAAAGCATGTCAGTGGAGTCTGGCATTGCTAAGACGGACACCATTTTATTTGAACCACTCTTCAAACAGTACCGCTCGATTCCTGCAAAGCTTTTGGGTGTATTCACTTACGTGTTTACTACAGAGGGAGAATCACAGCGTTTGTTAACTGTCTATTAGCCGTTTATTACATGAATTAAGCAGCATGCCTTGTGCGAAAATGCTGTAAATAACAGCCATTACGAATATGGAATACAGGAGAGTTAAAATGTAGTTTTCACTCATGAATACTTAGAATAGACGATGAACAGTCATCAGTAAATAAGTACTGATCAAAACAATGAGATCAAGGAATCATTCTGAACTGATAGAGCTAATGACACAATAGTAACACTTTTTTCGCTCTCATTGGAGCCTTGACAATCAACGTGGAATTTTGCAAGCGATTATGCAGGCCATTGTCAACGTTTGTTGACAGGTTGTGTAATTCGGGGAACTAGCAAACTAGATTATGAGCAGTAAGTTATCTGGTGCGTCATGTTACTCAATCAACACCCGAGTTCTGAGAATGTCTAGATTGCATACATTTCAACTGTTTGATGGATTCCTCCAAAAAGAGAAGAAAATCTTGCTTCCATCACGTCAGCACGCCTGGAGCTATTTTGTTTTGTTATGCGTAACACGCTATATTTCGAATCTCAGACTATGACCAGGCCTCAGGTAGACCAGCTGTACGTGGCGGGTAGAAGAAAGACTTAGTTTTCCCACTCTTCAAGCTCACGTCACCACGTTTTGAAAGCTCTAAGCAAATCTATTTTCATAGATCAGGTTTGAATCCTGGCTGTTGTATTAGGTTGTCCGGAAGTTAATGCCCGTTTTGAACTAAAGAGACTCAGCAGCCCGAAAGATCGAAAAAAATCGTAACTCAGTTCATAAAAGTCTTCAAAAATTCTTATTTTCTCACGTAAACACTCGCCACATAAAACATCTAAATACGCCTTTGCCGTACTTTTTCCTCTGTTAGATATAAAGAAAACGGAAATTTTCGAGCATTTGCCAAAGTGATGCTGTGCCGTCCCCACATAGGTAGTTGTTGACTACAAACCTGTAGAAGTACAAACGTAAATTCTCAGCTCTATACAAGCTCTAGTTCTCGAGAAATTTGAAATTTGGCTTGGACCTTCTGACTAGGGAAAACCATATTCGATATTTCTCGAGAACCAAAGCTTGTAAAGAGATGAAAATTTAAGTCTGTACTTCTACAGGTTTGTAGTCTACAACTACCTATGTGGGGACGGCACAGCATCACTTTGGCAAATGCTCGAAAATTTCCGTTTTCTTGACTTCTAACAGAGGAAAAAATACGGCAAAGACGTATATACGGGGTGTCCGTAAAGTATGTATGCACTGTTTGATCGTTAATATCTCCGTTTTCAGGGGGTCTTTTGCCGAGCTTTAAGCACCATACTGTAGAGCTGGCTTCAACTTAGATTTACAGTATGGAGCGAATCGCCGTTCTCCTCTCATTACTGTAGGATTACGGTAGGAACTTCAAAGAGGGTTTGAGCCATGAAAGACCATATTTTGCCTCAGAAAGGAAACAAAACAGCCTGAAAACTTTTACACTAGGCTAATTAGAGTTGCTGATTCTAATTGTGAAGTTCCCAACTTATTATGATGCTTCATTGAAGAGTTATGCCAGGTAAGAGGTAGCGGCCATTTTTTCACTGTTCCTAAAAAGTGCGTTTACACTGTTTAGAAAGCTTCGCAATCTTGTGAATAGTTGAATATTGAACTCAGCGTCCATAAAAACCCTATTACACAAATTTTCACATTTTTTGAAAAATTTTGAAACGACAGCTTTTTCCACATTGACACCATATGTTTCAAGTTTCTACCGTAATCCTACAGTAACAGTGAGTAATGCTGATTCGCTCTATATTGTAAATCTAAGTTGAAGCCAGCTCTACAGTATGGTGCTTAAAGCTCGGCAAAAGACCCCTGGGAACGGAGATATTAACGATCAAACAGTGCATACATACTTTACGGACACCCTGTAGATGTTTTATGTGGATAGTGTTTACTTGAGCAAGTAAGAATTTTTGTAGAACTTTTATGAACTGAGTTACGATTTCTCTCGATTTTTCAAGCAGTTGAGTCTTTTTAGTTTTTGGTTTTTTTTGAGGTGGATAAGAGCTATTGCAAAAGCAAGAGAGCCATCTTTTAGAGCTTGATTTGCTCTATCCAATGGTACTTTGCGCCTACTTAGAAGTAAGAAGTGTATGACTTACTGCGGTTGAAATTCAAAACGGGCATTTATTTCTGGACAACCTAATAAAATGGTTTAAGTTATAAGTTATCTTTTGCGAATATTTTTAAACTTTCGCAAGCTCCTGTCTTTCCTCGTGAGTGTGGCGTTGAAGTGAAAACTCCATGCCTTTCACTTCAGCCACCATGCATATGTTGATCTCTGTTTATGTGCTTTGATTGCATCTTGAAGAGCTTGCTTTCCTCTATTCAAATTATGCCACCTGCCCGACTGACATCATCCCAACGCTGCCGGAAACCTCGCCTTGGAAACCAAAGAACTTTCTTTCCAACACAGTGCTATAATGAATGAGTGCGAGTCGTAAGGCCTAAAAAAAATACTTTTCAGAGCATGCATCTTTCGCTTTTAAATGACTACTGTATTGTCAGCGGAATAGTCATCTTCAATATCGTTGGCCTTTTCGGTAACTTCCAAATCATGTGGATGATTCTTCGTAAGAAATCAACTAAGGCCAAAGCAGGTATAGAATCCATTTTTGAAACAACAGTTACCGATCAGTACACTCTAATCGTATTTCATCTTATAAATAAATTAGGCGTGCTATTGGGAACCAATGCCCTAAATCACACGATTTGTCTATTATCAGAAATCATAAATGCTATTTTTATACTTTCTGATAAGTCATTCACAAGAAGGGATTGCTACCCTTATATGGCTTTGTACATGTTCTTTATTTGTCAACAAACCATCACGACTTTGATGATATCTACGGAGATGTTGGCCGCATTATTCTTTCCATTATGGTAAGTCGAGAAAACTTCTGCAAAAATGCACGAACTACAGAGTGCGGCAAAAGTACTTTCCCTCAAAATAAAGGTAAAAAACCGGCGTGATTTCCAGGTTTTTCTGATGAATTAGACGTAAATCAAGATGTGAATAGTGAATACATTTTAACATTATACTGAAACTGAACCAATCCAGCAGCGGCCTCTTCGCAACGCATCCCGAAACAGTCCTGAAATTCCCTTACAAATATGAAAAAATGTGGTTTTTGGAAAATTCTTTTGTCAACAAAAATTTGGAATCTACTGCTTAAGGAATGTGGTAGTGACTTCGAGATATTCTGAAAGTAGCCAGCCGGCCACTCGGGAAAAAGTTGTGAGTTTTTTCTTGCGAAAAAGTGGCTGCGGCGCAATAGGGTGCGATCAGAAAACTTGGCACATAAATTATGAATTGTTTGACGATCCAAAATTATGAGAGCAGATTTTTTTTATTATTTCTGTTTCTTTTTGTTGAGATCTGCAACTCTGAATCATATCAGGTTGTTCCACGAGTCTTTTCATTTTTGAGTTTTCGCTGTAATAAGTCATATACTTCTTATTCAAAATAGAGGATACCATTCGATAGAGCAAAGAAACTCTATAAGATAGCGTTTATACTTTTGCACCAGCTTCGGTACACCTTAAGTTTGAAATCAAAATCTGAAGGGTTTCGGATGCCAAGAAAATAGAATTTTTATATATCTTCGTTCAAAAAAGTCTTACAGGTCTCTCACTCGCTCGCGCAAATACACTCCACATCAGACACTCGTATGTGCTTTTGCTGTTTTTTGTATTATCTAGAAGTCAAGAAACGAAAATTTCCATGTTTTCATCAAAGTGATGCTGTGCTGTTCCCATACTAGTAGTTGTATACTACAAGTCCTTAGAAATACAACCGTAAAGATTTAGCTCTCCATAAGCTCTGGTTTCCTAGAAACGTTGAGAAGCGTGAAAAAGCGCCTCGGGAACTAGTGCTTGAAAGGAGCTAAAAATTTGCGGCTGTACCTCTAGCTCTGGCTCTGTACTTCTGAGGGCTTGTAGTATACAACTGTTAATGTGAGAACAGCAGAACATCACTTTGGTAAAAACGTGAAAATTTTCGTTTTCTTGATTTTTAGCTAACAAATAAATAAATACAGCAACAGCACATATGAGTGTGTGATGTGGAGTGTATGTGCGTGAGCAAGTGGGAGATTTATAGAACTTTTTTGAAAGAAGATATAGAAATTTTTCAATCTGGATATCCGTTGAGCTTAGGTGGATAGAAGCTCGTGCAAAAGTATAGACGCCTCCATATCTTATAGAGCTTCTTTGCTCTTTCGAATGGTATCCTGATGTTAATTTAGAATGAAAAGTGTATGACTTATCACAGCGAAAATTCGAAAATGAAAAGACTTATGGGACACCTAATAGTTTAAATCCAAGTTCTTAAGCATGGGATATCAATTGCGTGGGATATCAATTGTCTTTTCAGCCAAAATTTGCTAATCTGTAATTGTTTTCTCCGGGTACTTCGACTGACATCACTAACCTAGCACATGATCTTCTGCTCGTCTTCTATCGTGCCCGTATCATCGGAGTCTCTTCTCTTGTATCCTCTCAAAGGACGACCTTCATTGTAGCTCCTATGGTTTGTTGGTGACACAATAAAGCATCGTGACTCCCGCTGTCCATCTTAGCATGCGTGTCTCCATCGCACCAATCCTTCGTTCGTTTTCTCGCGTAACGGCCAACGTTCGCTGCCATACAGAGCAGTCAGGGAAACTTTAATTTCAACCAAGCTGCATTTATTCTTCTAGTTATTTCGTCCTGAGGCGTACCATTTGCGTCGATGCGACTTCTCAGATATTTGAATGTCGTGGTCTTCTGATTGGAGCGCCTTCGATCTCTACAGTCCCTGGCGTTTGAGGTCCCAGCTCCATGTATTCGGTCCAAGTTTACTTTCCCACTTCTGCACCTCTAAGGTCATTCCTGTTTCTTGTCATTAACACAACGTCATCTGCGTACATCAGAGCCCATGGAGGGTGTCGTATGGAGTCTCTAACTATCGTATCCACGAGTGATGAAGAGAAGGGGCGACAATACGGAACCTTGATGAACTCCGGCGTTGGTCTGGAACTCTTCTGATGGTCCTGCTGCTGTCTGTACGTGGCTTCTGGCATCTTTGTATATCATCTTGATCCGCTGCACGTACTCTTCAGGCACTATGCGTTTTCGTAGTGACCAACATATGATATCATGCGGCACCTTCGACGTTTTCTCCAGGTCCAGGAGCTGCGGGCAGCTCTCGCTGCTTTTTCCCGCTTCTTTCCAACATTATCCTGACAGCGTGGATGGCATCTGTTGTGCTGCACTTAACGAATCCGCACTGGTTATGGTCTAGCTCCACGATATTTGCAGTCACATTTCTATCTTTCGAAGATCTTCGGGGTGTGACAATAAGTCTGATGGACCGGTAGGTTGAGCAGTCAGCTACGTCGCCTTTGTTCTCCATATTGGTACCGTTAGGCTTCTGCACCAGTCGTTTGAGATCTTCTTACTCCTATCACCCGGCTGAGAAGTCGTGTCAGCCATGTAATTCCAGCCTGACCACATGCTCTCCAGAATTCGTGGGGGATGTCATCGGGGTCTGTCGCCTTGCCGTTTTTCGTCCTCATTATGACGACTCGGACTTGGTCTTCCGTGATAGTTGGAATTGGTTCATGCACAGGCTCAGCTGTAGACGCGATGTGTATTCGTGGCTCGTGGACGCTATGTCTGCGAAGTGTATCCTCCATCTTTTTTCTAGGCCCCATTCAAATTACTCAATCGGCAGCTCGGGCGGTAGCGTCGCGCGTCCGTGCTGTATGCATGGGTACCCTTGCATACCTCAAACAATCAGTGTTCTAGTCGGCTAATGTGTTTTCCATGAGCGTGCCACTATCAGGTCATGTAGAGTCGCGGAGATAACTCCAAGTGTATCTATCAACTGAGGATGTGCTGCATTAAAGCCGGTCTGCCTGACTTCAAAATTCGTTCCGTCGGACCGAACTCTGCTACCAAGCCTCAGATGATCCTGATTACTGATGCGCAGCAAAGCTTGACCATGTAAATGTAATGCTAGTCCATCTGATTTAGTTCGTCACGACAGTTGTGAGTGTCATTTTTATTGCGCTTCAACGTATTTTGTGTCGTACTTTCTGATCTTTCGCAACAAAACTCGGAAACTTTGCGATGAAGTCGAGACTCAGTGATCATCTTTTATCTTCCAGTCTTTCTTGCGTTGTGAACTTTGATATAGATAAGCAGATTGAGCTAAATGTGCTGTTCGAATTCAAATCCTACAATACCACACTCAAAATGTGCAAAATTCCCGTGAATGTCGCGGAATTCCGGGAATTCGCGACATTCTGGGAATTCCTCGACACTCCATAAATTCCGCGGAATCCACGCGAATCACGCAAAATACGCAGTGTCATAACTTCCTTCGGAATAAATATAAAACCGCAGCATTGTGTTCAGCTCGTCAAGGCAAATCTTTTAGTGTACAGCATGTCTTCGGATTCCGTTTCCACTTTTCTCAAATTTTCTCTGCGGAAGTCCGTTTGCAAGCATGTAACGCAGCAGCTATCCAACATAAAAGATACCGGTAAGTACTACCCGATAAGACTGTTCTGATCACAACGCGCTCAAGCGTAGCCGCAGACTTCTTTCCGATAGGGATACCAGCGTTGGTGAATTCTGAAGAGATTGCGCGTTTCCAAATTCTATTCTAATTTCCAAATAGTCGTAACTTCTTTCGGAATAAATGTATTCTGAATCCGGAAAAAGGATTGTACTCAGCTCATTATGGCGAATCATCAACATGCCCTTGATATTCCTATCTCATATTCCTAAATCTTTCTGTGGACGTCTCTTCGCAAAGCTGTAAAGTAGCGCGCATTGCCCCTAGTAGACTCCAGTAAGGAGATAGTATTTCTTTCGTAAATTATGGATCCTAAAAGCATCCGCAGACTTCTTTCCGAAGGGGATAGAAAGGCTGATGGATTGTGTAAAGATCTTGTCGTCTCAAATTCTACTCGCCGTAACCCTAGAAGACGAAGCTATCTTGCTAAGCAGATGTGAGTTCCGTAATCAGCAGGTCAGGTAACCTCTATAGGCAATTCCAGGATGTCAAGGTTACTTGATTTTTCCTCGTTTTACGCTCCGCAGCTTCCGATGTGGTGGCTGAAATATTGATAATCTTGGATTAGAAGGCTTCGCTTGTAGAGGTTCTCGGACACGCTGCTTACGAAAATAGCGGTCTCTGAGGAAGCCCAGGGTCTTTTTGCAAAGATATTGTGAGGTAACTGTAACTGGTCATGAAAATTCGTAATTTTGCTTGCACTTTTCGCGTATCTGTCGGAGAACTTTCCTGTTTGCTTTTATATGTTGAAGTTAGTAGGAGCTGAGCCATCGGATCGTGCATGTCTCAAGCCCCAGTCTATAAAATAGCCGAGTTACGAGCCTACGAAAACACGTCCTCATGAATTCTGCCCAAAATGTAAAGATCGCATAATTCGTAGAAATTCCACCGTGAGTGGTTGTACAACATTCTGATTGCAAATATCATGTTCACTTCGCCCAAGGGACCCAATGTATTGTATGGTGGTTACGTGTTCTTTAGCTGCTTAATTGAAAAAGCAGCTTCTTAGCTACTTTTGCGGAATTCCGGATGACTGCTACTTCATTTTGGCAACTTTTTTTCTGGCGTACTAAAGACAGTGTTCCTTGCCGATGTTTTTGGCCTGCCTTTCCTATTTTGTTCCTTGAAGACACGCGATGTCGAGTTTTCCCTCCTTCAGTCTATCAAATAACTCTCGACTGTAGCTCGTTAGCGCTCACATTTGGTCGTCGCTACTCAAACTTCCTGGACTCGCTTTTTCGCCTCATCCGGAATCAGGTAACTTTAGCACACTACTCGCGCCATGCGAGGTAGCTGCCCTCGCCTCCGCGGGACGCCTTACCAGCTTGTTTGTAGTCCGATGCATGTGACACGACCCTCGTACATTCCTCCCCAGCACGTCGCTTCTTCTGATGGGAGAGTACCCTCATTGATTGCCGAGGTTGATCCCCGTTGTCAGCCAAGCACCAGAAGAGGTGACGATGGGACTTGGCGGTTTCTAACATATCTAGAGAACAAAAATCAAATCTACGACTTGAGTGTTTCTTTTGATGAGCTTGTATCACCGCAATATTCCAGTATAGTTTTTTGCTTTGAGCACTGTAAGAAAATGCAGAATCTTCTCTTTCTAATCTATCTTAGATTGAACAAATTCGTTGAAAGCTCAAAAGCAGGGCTTATCAACTGCAGTGTCGGGAGCACTAGCATCTCCGCTCCCGTGCAGTCGCTTCGTCTGGACTCCGCACCCCTTTCGCGAACTCGAGCGTAGGAAGGACGGAGCCTTAATCGATTGGATATGATTAGAGAGCATGTTCGCGAAAGAGGTGGAGAGTCCCGCAGGGAATGGAGATGCTGATGCAATTGATAAGCCCTGTACTTACGACTTTTCAAAAGTTTTGATGCAAGATACAGACAGGTTCGAGCAAGAGGTGTGGTACACAACCATCGCATACGACCCCGTTCCCTTCCCCACATTATGTTCGCTTCCTGTAGGCATGACATTACGGCTCTACCCAAGCATTATTAGTAACATCTTCGTGGTTATCATATCAAGTAACCGCTCTGAGCCAAGTTTTAGCGAGTTCTGAGGGTCCCCAATATTGGGCCACCCAAGCAAAGTGAAGTGGTCATCTTCAAACGTGGTTAACTAAAAGTGAATTAGTTACCTCTTTTGCACTTAATAAAAGCTCTGCTCCCTATTTGCCCATATGAATCCTACTCCGAATAACCATCAAACTATGGAATTAGGAGCCAGCCAAAATCTTATTTGTCCTCATCTTTTGCTTACACTGGTTGTCCTTCCAATAACTGTTGCAAGAAAGAAGACGAGTTCAGTTCTAATCACTTCTACGAAAACGAGGAGATTCTGACTATCGAACCGTATATATTTTGCTCGCTGAATTCCCTTTTTGAATTAAGTTAATGGGGTGTGGCACAAGCTGTGGCTGCCACACCTTTTTAGGGGTTGTGCCGCAGCCCAATAACTTGCCTCCATTATATGTTGTTGCTACTGCTAAACCTTCTTCTCTATATATTAGGGTGATCCAAAAGTAATGGGGCACCTTGATTTTTTTGAAAATTCTTGAAGATTTCTTTCTGATTAGCTATGAACAACCAGCAATTTGAACGCTTTTATATAAAGTGACCTTCGCAGGTTATCCTGACAGCACCTTGCAGCACCTCACCGACATTCCTTTAAGCGGCGCTTCAAAAAAGTCAGACAGACTTTTTTGAACGCCATCCGAATTTGTGCTGCTGCACCTAAAGGATCCTCGACATATGGCATACCATTCAAAAGAGCTTTCCAAGTTCTTTCTAATGATACTTGAATATTCAAAAAATGCTCATTATTTCATACAAAAAAGGCACTTCATTCGAAAATGTGGGGTGTTTGGCGCAGATTTTTAGACTGAAATTCATGTTTTGGCCCACAATTTTTTGAAAACGAGAAAAGTCGAAGTAATTTGCATATGTGTGGATAGAGCGTAAAAAGCACTATCAGAAAGCAACTGTTAATGTTGAGCTTATTTGATTACCCTGATGAAAGAATAAGTACTATGTCTCTTGATACCAAATGCTATATCTTCTATTCTAAAGCCTTGGGACCACCGAGCTATTGTGGATTTGGTGACAGTCCCCTCACCCATTGCTGCGCACATATCTTTGGTAGGTTCACTTGTTCTACTGCGGAGCTGCTGATCAAAGTTCAAAATTGCTTGAAGTGATGAGCTTTCATTTTAAGTGCTTATAAAAATAACGCAATGTGACAGTGCCCAACTATAGACCTCGATCAGAAGGTTTTGTTATGTACTAACATCTGCCAAAACTTGGACTTCCAATTAGCTTTTCTATTTGAGAAAACTGCATTTATTCTCTAGGTGCCCCATTACTTTTGGATCACCCTAATAGCAGGTCATTCAGGATCGTTCCTAAAGAAATATAGTTGTTTTTCCTCACCTATGCAAATGGAAATTGCGAAAATATTAGACTATGGTAACATGCTAAGACTGCGCTACTACGCTACTACGAATCGCGAGGGAAGGTGACAAGAGTAAATAAACTTGCTAGCTCAAACTTCGTAATTCTCGCAAAAGTAATTTGGCCTGACTGATCTTTGTTTAGTCTGAGATATCATAAGCGTCATAAGCAAATGGGACGAATGAGATTTTGGCTTGCTCTTATTCCATAGTTTGCAGGTCATTTAGAGTGGGATTTCTAGTATGAGCAAAGCAGTAGTAGTTCATTGTACTGACTGCAAAAAGAAGTAGCTAACTCACTTTTGAAACAAAGTTAACATGTTCGAATGGCTATCCCGCTTGACGGTCCACATTTGGAAACCTTAAAATTCGCTGAAATTTGGTCCGCTAATCACTAAAACGATGCTCGTATGCCTTCAGGGCTCTTTTATCATGCTTGCTGTATACGATGGTAGGTCAAATTCTAAAATACTAGATAATGAGTCTATCTGACATTTTCAACAAATATCATGTTATCCCTAACATCAGTATTAGGTTGACAACGCCGCTTCCCCCCTGACCCTCATCGACTCCCAGATGTGGCGTGACACACCTTACCTTGATCCTGCTTATAGATCAACCGCATACATTGATTTATTATAATAGATCGGTGCAAACGTTTTTTTGTTTCTTAGACCGAAATCACTCAGAATTTAGGCAAGCAAATTGCCAATAGTATTCGATGCAGGATTTCTTCCTCTTCATCAGTCAAGTCTTCGAAGTTGTTTTCTAATTGATTGCTGAAATCGCATAGGTTTCGAACTCTTCTCTTTTTTGCTTTTGATTTCCTAATTCTCAAAGCTGTTCGAAATTTTGGAATTCTCAGTCGCCAAACAGACATACGTTTGCAATTGAATGCGTTTTTGCTCTCAGATGGCTTTATGGAGTGCTTCCGAATGATCTTTCAAAAGACTCAAGTAAAAGAAATGCACAATGCTAGTTCACAAAACTCAGTCATTACTATCACTCAGTTTACATACATTTTACAGGGTGTCTTAAAAGTTATACACTGTTTGGTCGTCAATATCTCTCTTGCCAAAAAGTTTTTTGCCTGCCCCTAGGTACCTTTTGTGGAGCTGGCTTCGACTTAAATTTGCAGAATGGAGTCTTCATTACTGTAGGAACGGTAGGAACTTTTGGCTTACAGCGTCATTGAGGATCAATCCTGTTTCAAAAAAGTATCCAAGAATTCTGAAAAGTGGTGCATGAAGGATTTTATGTGCGCTGACTCCAATACTCAACTTTTGGAAGTCTGTAAAGCTTTTCATTTCAGATAATGTAATCGCAGTCTCAGGAAGCATTGTGAAGACAACTATTGCGGTTTACCTTGCGTAAGTTAAGCATTGCGGTAAGATGTAAAGTTAACATTTGATTTCAGCGAATTCAGTTAGCCTAGTTTAACACGTTGACGACGAGCCATTTTTTTGCGGTCCGTCCCTGTGGACGAGACGTTTCCATGCATCCCTACGCGTGGCCCATGTATGTATGCATGCATCCATGCACGAAGTACAAAATGTGCAAGCCCCGCCCCCTCTGGGAAGCTCCGCCCACTCGACCAAAAATGTCGGAAATTGCCCAAATTTCAAGAATTTATGCGATTTCCGCCACTTTTAAAAAGTGGGCGGAGCTTGCCACTCAGGGGCGGAGCTTGCCTGCCGGTGGGCGGGGGGCCTCGCTAGAAGTTGCTTGAAGTCTTTGCGTTCATCTTCAGCCTCATCCATGCTTTTTGTGGACAAAAAGGATCCTTGTGAGAGGCATAAAAGTGGGCGGAGTTTGCCAAAAGGGACGGGGCTAATACACGAAGTACATCTGAGCCTATGTTGATTATATGAACAAAAACTGAGAGGATTGGACAAATAGTATTGAATTTAAGGCCGCCGCGCACCATTGCGCGGCGTCGTCCACAGGGACAGACTGCCTGCCGCGCACTATTGCGCGGCACTGTCGCCAACGTGTTAAGAGTTTTCAGTTTGTTTGGTTCGCTTTCTGAGGCGAAATAGAGCCCTCAATAGCCCAAAACCCTTCTTGAAGTTCCTGCCATAATCTTACAGTAATGAAGAATGATGAGTGACCTGCTCCATAATACAATCTATTATAAGTTGAACCTTGCTCTACAAACGGTACCTAACAAGGGAAGGATGATCGGTCAAAGTGGCCTTTTGGAATGAGCTCTATACTAGGAAACCCTTCTTGGTAAGGTAGTGGCCAAAGTATTTTCGCTAGTTGCCGAACGATTTTGTGGGCGGAGTTATGGGGCCATTTTTCCGGCATAGCCGGCGCCCCTACTAATGGGCGAGGCGCATAAAACTATGCATCGAGTGTGACAGTGGCGCAGTGGCAAGGCAGCGGACTGTACAGCAGACGGTCGAAGGTTCAAGTCTTGTTGGTGTTGTTTCGTTTTGCAGTTTTGTAAAAAGTCTACTGGGTGACAGTAAACGAAAAATACTATTGCTGCGAATTGAAACAAGGTATTTAGTTCAAAAAGCCACTTTTTACACTCAGCTGAAATCTTCTATATTATGTAAATCTGTGCGGATTTTGATGTTACAATAATGGATTTCAATGACATATCAACACTTTTTGGCAGTGTGGAATACTGCCACAAAATGTTCAAAATAGAAGAGTCTCTCGCAGCGCGCGCATCTAAAAAAAGGCAATCGGTTGCAGTCAGCAACTTTATTACATATCAGGGCAGGACCACGCAGGCAAAAGCAAGCGCCCGTATGCGCATATAGCAAAAGCTCTGCTGCCAAGCTTAACGATGTTCTCGCCACAGCTAATTGTCTATACAGTTTTTTCGGAATAATTCGGACATCATAATCCCTACAGCTTTACATAATATAGAAGATTTCAGCTGAATGTGAAAATAGTGGCTTTTTGCACTAAATACCTTGTTTCAATTCGCAGCAATAGTATTTCTCGTTTACTGTCACCCAGTAGACTTTTTACAAAACTGCAAAAGGAAACAACAGCAAGAGGATTTAAACCTTCGACTGTCTGCTTCACAGTCCACTGCCTTGCCACGCGCCACTGTCACAATCGATGCATCATTTTAGCGCCTCGCCCATTAGTAGGGGCGCCGGCTGCGCAGGAGAAAAATGGCCTCATAACTCCGCCCGCAAAACCGTTCGGCAACTAGCGAAAGTACTTTTGCGACTACCCTACCAAGAAGGGTTTCCTGGTATAGAGCTCATTCCAAAAGGCCACTTCGACTGGTCATCCTTCCCTTGTAAGGTTCGCCGAAAGGCATCAACACAGAAGAATTATCAACGATCAACAGTGTATACATACTTTTGCGACACCTGTATATTGTTGAGAGCTACGCTGGATGAGAACGCTTGCATTTATAAGATGGCGTTTTGGAAAATGCACAGCTCTAGAGAAATGATCCGTCTGATCGATTAGATGCGGGTAATTTGAAAAAATTAAAAATCGAATAATTTGTGGTCTAGCTAGTATATGTTCCTTCGTGCAACTGTTCAGGTATCGTTCATGTAGAGTACTGCCTTACATCTCGACTGTGGTTTCACTTTGCTCCATTTACTCATTTTGCATTGCTTTCTGGGGATGGACAGCCGCTAACGACGACATAATTCCTTTCTGCAATCCACCACTTGGTAATTTATCTATTGGTTACGATCCCCACATGAATAACATTCGTTCAGCACTCGCCCCGCATGTAAGCCGTTTCTGGTCAGTCACGAACTTTGCCATATGTGCGTTGGTGGTACTTCTTTACACTTTTTCAATGGTGCTGGTTGCAGTCAGCGGTAAGCACATATTAGAGGTGGTCCATGACCATAAATGCGGAAACGAGGTGATCCATATCAAAGACAGAAGAGGAGTACGTTTACGTGCTATATTATTGTGTTTCCACTCTACAAAATCTGGAGATGTTTGTAATATGCTCTTTTCGTCTTTTTTCCGATACGATTTTGACACCAATTATGTAGCTCGGGGAATTTCAAGAAGTTCTACAAAAGCAACAATATGAGATCTGGACGAATTCCGAATTCCACCAAGCAGGACGCTGACTATATGAAGAAGGGAAACATTGATCTGCTTGATTGACTAGCTTTTTCAGCAAAATCAAGCAGCCGAATCAGACAGCTCAAAGCTATTCGACGACTTCAAGTCGTCGTTTTTGTCTTCATCCTCTCTTGGACTATGGCATCTCTAGGTTCGGATATTGGAGCATGGATTCAAATTTCTCCGGAAGTGCTTCCTATCTGGGAAAGCAATTTGGTAAGCAGTTACTAATAGAGAGGAGAGAGTTAAGAGGAGTCTCAAATATTTTACGAAGGTACCCCACAAATTATGCAAAAGGCTCGGCGCGAGGTGGCAAACAACAACGTATTAACGACTTTTGCTTTGACATAACAAAATTTCACTATTTCTCCTCTGAACGCCGGCTCACTGCCGTCTCATTTGTAGCGCGCTTCTTTGCGTAGACTCGGATTTACTACGCTATTCGTGCTCACAACCTGAAGGAAGAGAAGAGCTTACAGAAAAGATAATGCTATGTAGTAAACTCGAATTCAGAACAATTTATGTAAAAGAGATAGAGAGCTCACGGAAAGGCGGGTCAAATTTTGCTTAAGTTTGAGGTTTCGATCTAGCAAATGTAGCTGTAGTATTTTCAAAAGCAAATTTCCTGGGTGTGATACAGGTCTACAATAAATTACGCTTAGGTTTGTGCTCAGCATGCAACTTTTTGAGAGGCAGCTCGTGCGCGAGATCTTGCTGCTTATTCGCTGCCACGCAGACGCACTAAAGGAGTGACTACTAATCTTTTTTTGACATGAACGATCGATTGAAAGTGGGATTAAGATATTGCAGAGGCTGTGTAGAATAGTTCCCTTCGTTCACTATTTAAAGCGGGTTTTCGAAAATGGATTATGAAAACTGTCTCCTCCTTTTTAGGCATATGAACTGCACTAAGTTCCCAATAATTTCGTACATGTTTGCCACAAAATACGAGGTTTGCTTTTGAATGTATATTGTACTAATCAGCTCACATTTGACAGACTCTTCTAATTTGTGTTGGAATACAGGTTTAGAAATCTTGCAATGCTTATGCATCCGTATGCATCCTAAAAGTGCACATGTGGTGTTCTCACCATTTTAATTTTGAGCAGTAAAAAGAAAACGCTTAGCTACATTTAGGTATTCTTCGCTTTGATCTGCTACTCCCAAACATTTTATGTGTGCATGTGGCGTTCGTCGGAGTACAGGCAAGCATTCAAGGAGCAGATCCAAATTATGATCTGCAAAAATTCAAAGAAACAGCCTGCTGACTCTATACATATCACGGTAACTACCAAGAGGTTAATATGTTTATGTGTTGTATGTCTTTTGAATGCTAACATCTCTGCGTTTCAGTTGAGTATACACAAAGACATCTCCCACCAGTGTGCGACAGAGATAAACGCGGCGCAATTTTATACGTTTGTGATCATTATATAGTTATATAATGATCACAAACGTATACTCTATTGAAATGCATTGCGCTGCAAATAAAACCCACAGGAATTTATTGCAATACTGTGCAAATCTTCATATCACTGTATTACATCGCGTAAATAAACGAATTCTGCTGGAGGACAGTTGAGAACCCATCCGATAGTCCGCGAAATAAGCATTGCGAATCCAAAGTGATTGGTGTCGAAACTATATAATAAAAGGCTATACGAGATGAGTGCGCTTATATCCCATGAATGGGACGTTTTAAGCTTATTATAATCCGCTGATGAAGATTACAGGAAGTTCATGGTTCACATAAGCCAAATTTGCTCAAGACATAGTCTTCTTGAAAAGATAGTGGTATAGGGTCTGCCTTCGGCAGCCTGTATTCCACCTTAAGGAGGAGAGCTTTACATTTTAGCAACTATGGGGCTTTTGTCGTTTTCGCTCTTGTTTGCTGTTGTTGCTTTATTATTTTTCTGTTCTAGGTGTAATTGACCCATGACAACAGGCGGCTGCGGCCCAGGAGTTCCCAAAGCCTCGCCGCCTCCCCTTGCAGGGGTACTTAGCACCTCCAAAGGGTCTTCGCACCTTTTAGATGGTTCCGCCCACTTGCTCCGCCCACTAGCTAATCTTATTCCGAGTTGTGCAGGCTCGGAGAATAGTCCCCAATGTGTTCTGTTGAATGGATGAGTAAAACGGAAGGAAGGTGACAGATGAGAAGTTATGAAGTCTATGTATGGGCATCGCTTTGTCAGAAGCAAAGATGCTTCCCTTTTCTCGATTTTTAGCCAGAGAAAGTGTATATATGTACGTCTCTGTGAAGAAATATTCTGAGCAAGTTGCACGAATGCAATTTTTTTGATGGAATTTCTACTTTTTTCACATTTTTCGGACAGTTAGATTTTTCTAGCTATAGGCTACAACTTCGCGTAGATCAAATTTGATGCAACTTTTCAAAGCACTACCTTGTAGAGCTTGCTGTTTTCTATCGAATCAAAGCCATAGAATCTAGCTAGAATAAGCGAAATTTGACTTATTGCGGTTTATGCCAGTTTTAGAGCAAGATCTTGACTTATTAACCGAATAATTTGAGCTTCCCGTCATTTTCAACAGCTTTTTCATAGAATTTGAATGCGTTTTCAGTACTGAAATTTCCTTTTTGTTTGAATTCATGTCTGGTGCTTTTCACGATAATGAATGATAAGAAAGACCTTTTTCTGGAGAGATTTGTTGATACTTTTGCAATTAATTTTACCTGAATATCTGCTGAAATTTTTGTGAATTTTCTGTTAGCATGCCAGAACGATTCTGATCTACTATATAGGTCGATGCAAAAGTTAGATTTAGGCAAGAGATTTGGCAAGATGAGAATTTTTCATGAATTTTCGTTGCATGCCTATACTATTCCCGCAGCCTTCGAATGAGACCAGTGAAGAAGTGGAGCGAGGGCGGGGTTTGACCTCTGTTGCGCGAAGGCGCGAGGAGCCTTCTGGAGTGTGAATGCTAGTGCGAATGGAGGTGCTAGGAACTCCTGCGTCCCTTCCGTATCGGCGTATCCTTCCAGCCGCCAATCCCGTTGAATCAGGGTACCCATAAGGGAGACAAGCCTTCGACCAAGCTTGTGCTGACTGTGTGACGCCGGGTGAGTTGCCTATGGGGAGCTGGCCAGGAACACTACGCACGATCGCGTCATTTGCAACTTGATTTTTTTGTGGCTCTAGAATCAAAATTAGCTAGTAACACCAATCAATGCATGCAAATTGCGTTATTATGGTAAGTGTATGGAATCATAGCTGGTCACTTGAAGTAAATTCGAATAAGCGCCACCTTCAGTGATGTATGTGAGGTTATCAGAATTACCCCTGCTGCATCGGTTCCGGGAGACTTACCAAATTTATGAAGTTTGATGGTCCCATCCCTTAACAACAAAAGATCTAGCATTTGGTATCTAGAGGCATAAAATCTAACCCGCTGAGGTAATCGAATGAACCTCACATTTGAACTTTCTACGTTCTATCCATACGCTTGCAATTTACTTCAATTTTCTTCCATTTTCCTGAATTGTAGACAAAACATGTTTATCAGCCTGAAATCTGCGCTTAAAATCGCAGTTTTCTTGAATGATCTGCCTTTTTTCACTCGTAAAATGTGAAACTGCTTCGCACATCCTTTTGTCTATTAAAAAGAACTTTGAAAGCTTTATATGCAAAGTGTCATGGATTCTTGAGGGAAAGCGCTGTAAAAAAGGTGATTTCCATAGAAGTCCGTCTTGACTTCGTCGGGGCGCCGCTTCAAGGATTTTGGGAGAAAAGCACCAAAGTGCGGTTAGGATGGCAGGCAAAGGTCACTCTAAATATGAGAGCGTTTAAATAGCTGGCTGTTTTCTGTCAATCAAAAAGGAACCTTGAGAACTAAGAAGAGTAAAAAATCACGGTGCTACAGTACATAACAAGGGAAGCGCCAATGATTCTTGCTACAGTCATATACATAGTGACACATCATAAACGAGCAGATGTTTTGTTCATCCCTCAGCTCTAACCGAATGTCACACCACTACATCTTATGCGATGGGTTTTGACGAGTAAGTGGTTTTTCTGGTCTGCTGTAGATGTTCTACAGAACGCCACTTTTGTCTTTTCAGTAAAGAAGATTTAAAAAGTTCGTACAGGAGGGAGCGGTTGCCTACTAATATGAGCGCAGCTACGATCGATGAGGGTCGCTTCCCCGCTTTGGGCCAAGCAAGTCCTTGCCCTCCAAAAACGGAAAATTGGTAGCAGAGCAAACTCTACAGAAAAGGATACTTGGTGACCGTGGCCATTTGGAATGCGATGTATACCCTAAGATGCATGTCGAAGCGCTGATTCTAAATCTGTGCTTAATATCTGCTAAACGATCTTCAGAAGGAAGTCACGAACTTTTATTTCGTAGAGAATTTGCGTACTTTTGGGTAGTTAAAATCACCATTTTCTAGGTTATCGTTTGAAGCTATTGAAGAGAATCTCAAAAGGAATACTGTTGTATTCAATTTACATCATATCCAGCGTTTAAGAAGGAAAGAAAATTTTTTATTGAAGATTTTGATCCTCCGCAATAGCGCAATATATTCATGGAAAAACAATCATGACTCCATCCAAGTTATCTTTTCGCATATATGGAAGACAGTATTAGAACCAGCATTAAAAGGCACGTTTTTCGATATACAAATCATTACGAATGACCACGGTCACCAAATACTCCCTTGTAAGACAAGGGACTCCGAAAATTTTGCGCACTCAAAGTGCATTTAGTTCTCATGGTCAAGATTCCTTGTTGCTAGCCGAGACCTGATCTCACGTTTAAATCATCAAGCAGTTGAAATTTGAGTGATAACGCTAAATTCTGAAAATAATGATGTCTCGATGTGAAAATGTCCAGATAAAAGCTTAACTCCATGTATTTAAGCAGTTTTCAAAAAAGTTTTCCAAGAACAATTAAACGATGTGATGAAATGTTTTATCATGGCAGTAGGCTTGACATGGTAAAAGTGAAACTTCCTTATTGTAGTGGCAAGGATCGGAAATGTGAGACAAAAACAAAAGGATAACTACCAGGTTTGCTTTGCCAAAATTTTTTTTTTTGAGGTTATTGCGGCCATGGCGGTGGTTTTTACAAAATTTCGCTGAAAACCTTTCTGAAAGCTGTGCCAGACACCCTTTCCTGCTTTCATTCGTGAACAAGCTCAAAATTAGAGTTCAATAAGGAAATTTCCACAATTAGTATTGTGATTAGGTTCCAAACTGCAGGCACGTAGCAGGTGCTGACGAAGTGTGATAATTGTTCGCTCGGGCATGCTAATAGTTGAATGCGTAAAATCAGACGCTATGTCGAAACTTGTTTTGCATCTCGATTACGGGATACCATGCGAAAACGCGGTATTATGTCGAAGTCCAGGCCTTTGTGTAAGCTCAGAAGTTAATTAGCAATTGAAGAAGGCTCTCAGTAATGGTTCAGACTTACCTCATAGCTAGGCATTGTATATGTTTCATTTTATTGATTTGGTAGTCTTCAACGTTCGCAAAAATTTTTTGAAAGTTAAAAAATTGTAGTGCCTCCCATTTCTGTTTTCAACCAACGTAAGCAGTAAAAATAAGCTTCAACAATGACCGAGAAACTCTGTTAAATTTTCTACACAACTCAGAATTATTTTTAGCTCATTTGACATCTGAAAGATGGCTTTAGATGTCGTTTGACTTTCTGTATTTTCTTTCTAATCGCTTTGCTAAGTTAGGAACCTCTTTAGTTGCGAAAAAGCACTTTGAACATATTAGGTTGAACCGAAAGTTCTGTTGCACCATTTTCAAAAAATCATAACTTCTTTCCCTCACAACGGTTCTGCGCATTTCAAATTTTGTCGAAAAGCGTAGGGCATGTAGTCTCCAAAAGTTCCCTAGGGACTTTCCAACATGCTCAGGTTGCAGAGATAAAAATGAAAGAACGAGATCATCCGGAATTCGGAATTTTTGAGCAAAAATTCTAAAAATTTAGAAACTGTGCGATAAAATCCAGAACAGCCATCAGCCTAAGTTTTCTTATATTTTATCAATAACTGAGTCAAGTGTGCTGATCGAGCTCTTTTTTTAAAAGTTATGATTTCTTGAAAGAAAATACCGAAAAATAATTTCTTAAGAATTCTTTGGAAATTGATTTGTCAGCATTTTTTTCAAAAAATCATAACTTTCGAAAGAAGAGCTCGATCAGCACAAATTTGACTCAGTTAGTAATAAAATATAAGAAAACTTAGGATGATGGCTGTTCTGGATTTTATCGCACAGTTTCTAAATTTTTAGAATTTTTGCTTAAAAATTTCGAATTTCGGATGATCTCGTTCTTTCACTTTTATCTTTGCAACCTGAGCATGTTGGAAAGTCGTCGGAGTACTTTTAGAAACTAGAAGATTTACGATTTCTGATAAAATTTGAATTGCGCAAAACCGTCGTGACGGAAAGAAGTTATGATTTTTTGAAAATGGTGCGACAGAACTTTCGGTTCAACCTAATATATCGCTGCCTCAGCGATATATGTTTAAAGTGACACTCTTTTCTTTTCAATCCAGTTGAACTTATATCGCTGAGCAAGCGATATTTGTTCTACTGGGTTGAAAAGAAAAGAAATGTTGTTTTTTATAAAGCAATCAACGAATCCAAAAAAATTGTGAGGGGTACCAATAGGCAGAGTAAAGGAAGCTCTACAAGAACGTTGGCAGAAGTCAAGTTTAGAGCCAGAACGTAAAAGCTACTCATGCTGCCAAAAATCGGATATTTGCCCTAAAAATTCTACGAACCTCTCACTTGCTCCTGCCTATAACAGACACATGCACAATCCATAGGTACACTTATCATATTTCTTCATGCTAGGAGTTAAGAAAAAAATCGAAGAAGGAAAATGGCAAATTCCCCCCCCCCGTAGTTAGTCCTGGTCTCCTTCCACATATGCCGTTGTATGCTAAGAAGCTTCGAAACTTTGGCCATAAAATTTTGCCTCGGATATGCCCTAATTCTTGAGGAATATTTTAGCTGCAAAAAATCGAAAAAAACGACATTTTTTTCTTCCCAACCTAATACTTACAACCTTCATTTTTCAAACCTTATAAAAGAATGAATTTTGCTAACAAAACATAGCCTCATCAGAAACACTGTAATGTGCCCGAGATTTTTCTTTTGCCTAACAATAAGATTTGAAAGTGGTCAACATAAAGTCTATTCAACTTCTCAGGATAAACTTCAACAACTTTGATTCGTCAGCTGTCAGCTTCCTTTCGGTACTCCCTTACCGTTGAAGTTCTAGCCTTTGTGATGTCTCACATCTTTCCTTTGCAGATGGCCATCTTTCGGAGCATGTACTACATTGCGTTCGAGATATTCGTCTTCAATATTGTGGGAGTTTTTGGAAATTTGCAACTTATATGGATTAGCTTGCGTAAAAAATCATTTCGCACCAAATCTGGTAAGTGCGTGAATTGCGACTGAAGCAATGCATAATACGTATAAAGCCAGCAAAAGATAAAAGAGGCATACCGTGCTACAGAGCAACAAAATCGATAAGACCACAGTAGTAGTGTTTCGCGAGAAAGTTCCGTTTTTTTTCACTCTCTGCGCTTTCATTTTTTTGTTGACAACTCTAGGATAACACTTCGAGTGTTCGAGAGAGGTATCAGTGATTATGTGATTTCACAGAGGATGCCTTCCATTACTCAATGATCTAATTCTAAGCAGTGATGACGATGAACTTGCGTTTTGTGAGACCTAGGTTGCATGAAGTGGGCTCACGACTAACTGCTCGGATAACCATTCACAATTCAATTGCCCTCAAATCTTACAGATAGGCCGCTTTCGTAATCAAGATAAGTTCGTCTCCAGAAAAGCCCGCCCTATAAGTCCTTTTTTCCATTATGACTACCCCAAAATTTATCAGATAAGTCCGAGGGGGTCTTATCTAACAAGATACTTATCTGCGGGAGGTCTTACAGTGCCCTCTGAATTATGTTGTATCAGAATGCTCGCGAAACGCTGATCTCTAAACTATGTCCATTGTCTGCAGAACGCTTTTCTCAGGAGAATTAGGGCGTGCAAAAGCAAACGCGAAGACATACCCTCGATACATAGAGCCACGTACTCTGGTAACCTTCACTTTGAGGGCTATGAGGGGAGGGACAAACCTTCATCTGGAAAAAAAAACAGAAGTTATCCGGGGCTTCGCCCTGGATGTTGCTGTCCTGACTATATCGGAACGTATGTTAATGAAGCAAATGAATAATATCTTTAGCTTATTTCAGCGAAACCGAAAATTAGCGTTTTTATTGCCTTTTTTACGTTAAAAAGAAGGTTTCTGTGAGATTTTCGCAGAATTCAGGACAAAATTTTTCAGATAACCTCTCATTTGACCAAAATAGAGTTGCAGAAATTTAGGAAAGCTATTGAAGTTAACTAAAAACGAGAAATTGTGCTTAATTCTTGTGCAGAGAATCGCGCACGAAAACGCTGACCTTTCTCGTTGATGAGTGATTTTCAAAGCTTGGGACGTTGTCATTTCTCCTCGTCGTGTCATGACGATCAGAATGATATATAATGTTGCAGGGTTTCGTTGAGAACCCGCGGAGATCTACGACAGAGCCAAATGCCCCGTCGGCTCTGTCTGTCTCTGCTGCTCGTCTGCGTCTCTGCGCCCTGCGCCCTACCTCGCTACCTCAAACGCGGAGCGCGGGGCATTTGGCTCTGGTACCCTTTTCTTCGCTGTATCGAACCCAATTTTAGCAAGCTATATATCATTTTGAAGCTCTTGATCTCTATTTTTACGCTGACAACGTCCCAAAACCATATATTTTGATTTGATCAAGAAATCCGGCAAAAACCTTGTTTTTGAAAATCTCTTGTTTTTCTCCTAGTTTAACTTTCTCACGCGGTTTTTTCGTGCATTCTATAGATCTTGCTTCTGTTCATAATGCAGACAACCACCCAGCCCTTAACTCTTCGATTATGGTGGAAATTTTTGCGAAAAAACGTAGAAAGTGCGTTTTTCTTTAGCTTGTTCTGTTTCAGTGTTTTAGCATCGATTTTTTTCCAGCTTGGGCGATTGTTGCTCAGAACAATAAGCGCAACAATCCAGACAACGTCCCAGGAAACAGGAACGTCAATGCGGGGGAAAAGTTCAAAGGACGCATCAAAAGTCAGAACACCCTGTGCTGCGAATTGCTGGTCCTGGAGCGAAAACTTGCACCCTGAAAAGCCGCCAAATGAAAGATTTCAAACCTTATTGCAGCGTTTTTATTCGGTTAGCAGTTTCTTTTGCTTTTTATATCTGTTTTACGTCATTTTCTCTCTTCTCCGATCTTCTTCAAACAACCTTCACTATTTATGACGTCAGATGTTGGAACAACCTTCACTTTTGGCGCCCTTTCTCTAGACTATCGAAGGTATGCGCGAAGATATTAGCAGCGACACAGAAAACCGGCATCCGTTGTGCAATAACACAGCGCTAATCGCTATACCATTCGACATCTTGAGCACCTATCGACATTACTCGTACTCTTGTGCAAGCACATCAGATGCGAGGTGGTACGGTTTTTTTTGAAGAATTCCGCAAATAATGAACACAGTTTTGAGATGAGCGTTCCAAGAGAATGTCATGATATACGTATATCGGAATGCTACGGCCACACCAAGTATGCTTTTCCCAGGAATAGAGCTTTTTTTATGTGCTAACAGCATCATTAATGCATTCACTTTTCGCTTCAAGCTAGGCAGGTGTAGGCCAATTCGCACTACTGCTATGCTGTCAGGGCTCTTCCCGCGCAACACGCGCTGCGCCGGTTTTCTGAGCAAAAAGAAGCGGTAAGGAAATTTGTCGAGTTCAGGGTGTCTAGTGGATGATGTCATACCGAAAGGCAGTCTCATGTGGAAAGGCGCCAAATACTAACATTGTGCCATTGGAATGACATCCAGTTCCGGTAAGCAGAGATTTTTTTAATCCGCCCACAAGGCGGGCATAAAAGATTAAGCTTTGCTTACTGTAGCTCGCGCACCACTCAAGCGAAACCGGCTGCTTTCCCGAAGTTCCTTTCATTGCGATCCCTTCTCCTTTGTTCTTATCGTGTTCGTGTATGTCCATTTCATGTTCGCAACCACTACTCGCATATAATCCCTGTTACTACCCACCCTTCCCCGTTTCGCACCCGTGTTCTTGGAGCAGGCAATCTACACGTACATCATATGCAATCGTACTTGTTTACTACTCACATATTTTGTGTTAGCCTTTTTAGACTTTACTCATTATCTGTGCCTTTACAAGGTAACCTGCAAGAGATCCAGAATACTTCACAGTTATTGGAAAAAGTCGTTTAGACACACCAAGCATTAGTTCAAAACACCCAATCAATCATCGCCACGTACTTCCTAGCAATGAAAACTCTGGCGGTGTCAGCTGTATGTACTTTCGATTCGTTGACCGCACGGACTGCTCAAACGCTACGTACCGCGTGCAGCGCGGCTGGGATATTGCGAGAGCACGACTTGTGCAGTCTTCTTCAACTCGGAATAGGCAAACATTCCAAATGGAGCAGCGCGTCCGCACCGCCACTGACTCAGCGAAATAGATAAGAATGAAAAGACGCAGGCTGCAGAACGGCGCGAATCGTCGGAAAGCGGACTCCCGTCTGTCCAATTTCCGCCTAAACTGAGTTGGAACTTACTATACAATAACGAGTTTTGTACTGGGACACGCGTTTGATCTCGCGGCGCGTGCTTCACGGTGGTGTCCAGTGCGATCAACGAATCGACGATACCTAAGCTCTCTCTCTCTTTTGCTCATAGTAGCTCCTCGACAGAATTTGATACATATCAGCACTACAGTGCTTTCCAAAACTATAATTCCAGCCTAAAAACTGCCGTAACTTCTGCTTCTCAACGAATTAATCTGAAATTTGATACAGTTGTGTGTTCAACAAGGTTCCATCAGTGACTAGAAAGGATCCCGTTTTTGTTTGATTATTCAGGAGAAAATCAAAAATTTCGAAAAAAGCAGGCTTGAAGGTCGGCCAAAACTATAATTCCACCTATTCTCGGCCTCCAAAGTCCTTTCTGCATATACATAATCAAAAGTCAAAACAGTCGCTTTAGTCCAGCTGTGTCATATCTTTATAAGAGACCTTATCTGCTTTTTTTCGCTCAAAAATATTTTCATGCGTATCTTGTTCCCGAGAATGTGTTTTTATGGGTGATTCCGCAGTTTTTGACTGGTTTGGAAACGATAGGGCTCCATTTATCTTATAGATGCTTAGCGAAGTGAGAACTAGAGAAAAAACTTTGAGTTCTCATATCTAAAGCGCACCCGACATAGACCTAGCCGCAGGCCTGAGCTCAAATTTATGCCCTCAAACTCTTTCTCCAATGTTCTCATGAGCGTGAAGTAGAGTAATAACATTGTTGTATCGTCCCCTCCACAGCTCGTGCTACCCTTGGTCTGCGTCTCAGACCTGCCACGTGTGGCTAACATGTTGGCAACGTAGCAACAACATAAATAAACAAAGAGATGAGTCCACAATAAGGAGGAGTATTCTAAGTGTTGTGTTAGTGTCTGATCAGCTGTTTTCTCGTATGATCTGCCCTCGCTGAGGCGCCTGCAGCCTCATTGCGCGGGAAATGAGCGCTATAAAAGGCGCTCGCTGTTAGCCATTGTCAGTTCGTCTGTTCACTCGATCAAAGAAGACCAGAAGAACCGAGCTTCTGCCTCTCTTATTTTTGCTGTTCTATTATCTTATATATAAAGCTGAATGTCTGTCTGTCTGTCTGTCTGTCTGTCTGTATGTATGTCTGTACGTATGTGCGGAATAGAAATTTTTATTTCTGAACCGATTTGGACCAAACTTGGCACACATATACTTCGGGGCAGGGAGCGTGCCATAGGCTACTTTTCGTTATCGATCGATATCGATTTTATCGATTTTATCGATTTTTTGTAAAGTTTGAGCTACGGGGCTGGGATTTGGCACAGGGGGGTAGTCGAGCATGCTGATTACGAATACAATATTAGTTTTCAAAATCGTCCATTACTTTTATCGATTTTATCGATTTTTTGCAAAGTTTGAGCTACGGGGCTGGGAGTTTGCACAGGGAGGTAATCGAGCATGCTGATTACGAATACAATATCAGTTTTCAAAATCGTCCATTACTTTTATCTATTTTATCGATTTTTTGCAAAGTTTGAGCTGCGGGGCTGGAAGTTGGCACGGGGGGGGGGGTGATCGAGCATGCTGATTAGCATGACCGAATACAATATTAGTTTTTAGAAATATCCGTTACTTTTATCGATTTTATCAATTTTTTTGCAAGGTTTGAGCTACCTGGATAAGAATTGGCAGAAGGGGGTAAGTGGGCGTGCCGAAAAAGCTATTTTGCTGATTTTACTGCCGTGTTGTAGTGACGTTAAGGTCCGTAACAGCACTGTGACGTCACAGTGCTGTATCCCTGGTTTTTCAGTCGTAGTGTGACGTCACAGTGACGTCACATTGACATCACAGTTGCGAAATAGCCCGGTGACGTCACAGTGAGTCAAGTCCGCAGCAGCACTGTGACGCCACAATGACGTCAAGTCCGTAACAGCACTGTGACGTCACAGTGCTGTTTCCCTGGTTTTTTAATGGTACTGTGACGTCACAGTGACGTCACAGTTGCGAAATCGCCCGGTGACGTCACTGTGACGTCACAGTCACCGTCCTCATCAGGAGGCGGAGCTTCTCCCTGGGGACGGTATAAAAGGCGACTGGATGGGTCAGTCCGGCAGATTCAATCGTCAGTTATGGTGAGCGGTGACGTACTAAGAGTGAATGCGAAATTGTTAGTGGAGGCGATTGTTGGATTCAGTGATGGAGTCGTAGAGCTCGATCGAAGAGCTCTAATGCGACTCCTCGGAATTGATACCCGAGGAGTCGCGACGACGTCGCCTCGAGGATCCGAGGAGGAGGAGAGGAGAGGGGCGACGTCGTCTCCTGTTTCGAGGCGGCCGGTGATGAAGGTATGGGTGAGCCCTAAGTCCGATGAAGTATTGAGATGAACGATGATTGCAGGACGCGACGACTATGACCTTCCCAGCGCCCAAGCGCTTCGGCCGGCTGGCGCCAGCGGGAGTAAGACCCTCGGGCACGGGGGAATTGGAAGCTCCTGTCCGTAAGCGGACAGCCCCGTGCCCCCCGCTGGCGCCAAAGCGCCGGCCGCCGAACGACGGGGATCGAAGACTCTCGCGTGTGGAGGAAGAAGAAGGCAGCCCCGAAGATGGATGCACTCTAGCTTAAATAAATTTTTTTTGTTCTGTTTTTGTATAGTTTTGTTTTTTTGTTTTGTTTTTTGTATTTTTTGTATGTTTTTGTATTTTTTGTATGTTTTTGTATTTTTTGTAGAGTATAGTATTGTAATGATTTGTAGTTGTATTTTTGTTTAGAATTTTTGAAAATGAAGTTTTTTTGGAGGTGAGGCCCACCTAAGCTTCGGATAATTTGAAGATCGTCATTCCAGAGGATCTTCGAATTATCCGAAGCTTAGGTGTGCCTCACCTCCTTTTTTTTTGTGACCTTTTTTTTGTTGTTTCTGAATATGTGCAATAAAGTCCCAGTAACCCTAAATATGGCTTCTAATTGTCTAGAAAATTTTTATATAATCCGACAAGTGCCAAGCATCTACAAATACACCTGGCAGTGTCGTCAGCTTCTTCTCTTACTTTAGACTGGGGTCACTTCAAGCTAGGAGATTAATATCTGGCGTAAGGAAAGGGAGGGGCGGGGAAGGGGGGGGGGCTGTTAAAGAGTCATGGTCATCAACGAGGTCGCCGTCTACAGTCACAGCCCAAGTACCTCAAACTTGGGTAATTGAACCAGCGAGGTCAGTCGTGACGTCACAGTCGCGTCACATGACGTCACCGCCCTCTTTCGATGCCCCGCCCCTCCTCCGACCAATCATAGCGTTTGCCCCGCCCACCGGCATCGGTATATAAGGCGGCTCACCTCGCTTCCAGCCAGTCTTTAGGTCTGTGCGAGCTGGTGGACGGTTGATAGCAAAGAGAGCTGAGGAGTTGGCAAGAACGTTGAGAAGTCTTCGAAAAGACACTACCGTATTCTAATTTACGGTAAACTTATCTAGCCTTCCCTCATCTTCTCAATCAAAACTTAGCTGGTATTCGCACTGAGATCGATATACAAGACGCAAAATGCCGCCGAAAAAGCGTGCATCCATTGGCAGAGTGGATCCCAACACCAAGAGGGTTAGGGATCAGAGAGAGGCTGAGACCTCAGAGCAGCGCCAAGATCGATTGGAAGGCAATCGAGTTAGAATAGCAGAAGCGAGAGCGAGGCAAACGCTGGAACAGCGTGAAGAAAGTCTCTCAGAAACTCGCTTGAGGCTTGCTGCTCTGAGAGCCTCAGAGTCACAAGAAAGCCGTGACTCTCGACTCGAAGGCGATCGAGCGAGACATGCTGGAACCAGATCTCAGGAGACGGCTGAACAGCGCCAATTTCGACTCGACGATATGCGGTCGAGGAATGCTGAAGCCAGATCTCAGGAGACGGCCGAACAGCGAGAGTCTCGACTAGAAGACGATCGAGCGAGACATGCTGGAGCCAGATCTCAGGAGACGGCTGAACAGCGAGAGTCTCGACTAGAAGACGATCGAGCGAGACATGCTGGAGCCAGATCTCAGGAGACGGCTGAACAGCGAGAGTCTCGACTAGAAGACGATCGAGCGAGACATGCTGGAGCCAGATCTCAGGAGACGGCAGAACAGCGAGAGTCTCGACTAGAAGACGATCGAGCGAGACGTGCTGGAGCCAGATCTCAGGAGACGGCCG